CAGTGATTTTTTGAAAGCAGAAAAAGCATAATTAGACCTTAGATTCCAGGCTGGATTTGTGTGTTTAGCAAGAGAAAAAGAAAAGCCCTTTTTTAAAACAAAGAGATCCCTAAATATGCTGTAGCAGTATTTGACTTCCATATACCTTTTCCAGTAAATTCTCTATCAGAGTCTTTGAAGTCTGTGTCAGACTGTAATGCTTGCTCTGCAGACAAAGAGCCCATGTCTCTGTATCACCCTTGTGTGAGCCTTTAAGACTTGCCATTGTCTAATAATACCAGTGACTAATAGTTTGTGTATTTACTAATCAACGCATGGATGTTTGCAGAGAAGCTATAAAGGGCAGGGGGGATGTCCACGATGTCTTTGGAGGGTGAGCAGAGTTCCTCTGGGTGCCACGTGTTGTGCGTGCTGTGTTTGTGACCTCCATGCAAGTGCTCCAGTCTCTTTCTTGGCTTTTGTCTGGCAAGTGTAACACACACTGCTTTATCAGGCCTTGGCATTAGGGTTGTGGGGTGGGACTGCATATACACAGCCACATCCCCTAATTTTTGTTCTGAAGTTTGCAGGTCTGTCTTCCCTCAAAAAATCAGGTTACATAAGAAACATATATTTTAATTAAAGTGATATTAAGTATGTTTTTTACTTCAGTGTGATGAGGTGTTTATTACATTCTTGCACGGTGATAGATTTTGGGAAGAAGTAATGGATGTGCCTTGACAGTTGCATACGTACGATCATAGCTGTCCCTGCCACTGCAGGTGCTCCTGTACGACTCCTCAGGCTGTAACGTAACCTCCTACTGAGTTCGAGGGGCTGCCAGTAACATCAGTGGAAGTCAGAGAGAAAATCAAAACCATTATGGCACACAGAGTTCTTCCTTTGCTTTGCTGGGGAATGCTAGAAGCTTAAGGATTGTGTTTGTTTTCCAAATATATAATTTATTCTGAGATTCCAGAAAAAATAGATAAAGTACATTGTAGCTTTGATGGCTATGCTTTCTGGGTGCCTTGGGAAACCCAGGGATGCGTCAGTTCACAGAGGGAGATTTTGAAATCTATCAGTCTGTATAATGGAAAAACAGTGGGAGGACAGGTGAGCTGTTTCCTGCTCCATAGTGGTACTGAAATGATTCAGATGGAAACCCATTGGAGTCAAGTGGTTGAATGCCTGCTGAAAGAAAGTGTGATTATATCATCTCTGAGAACAAAATAAAACCTGTTACGACTTTATGTGAGATTCATAATGCTCCCCAGTGGGTTGGGAGATTCCTAGGGAAACATGCGGGGTGCATGTTTGTGCTGTGGAGCAGCGAGGGCTGGCAGCTCTCTGCAGAGGAGGGAGCTGGGACTGAGGGTGACAGCACATGTGGCTGGGGCAGAGACCACCTGTCAGCAGCTCAGTCCCACTGCACACAAGCATGGTGAGCAGGCCAGGTCCAGTGATGGAAACCAGGGTCAGGCGGGATCCTGGGCAAGCTAAGCTCATGGTGGTGAGGCAGGTCTGAGGGCAAGCAGGGAAGTTTGTGCATGGGCTGTGGCTTGAGTCCAGATCCACATGACCCAAAGATGAGAGCCCAGCTTAAATGCAGCTGTGATGTGTGAAGGAGGGAAACCTCTGCTGATGCTGAGTGAGCTCTATCTTTGCAACAGGTCAAACCATGGTCAGGTACCTGCAGCACAACTGAGAGCCGTTGAGTGCAAGCAGCCGAGCTCAGGGGAGGAGGGAGCAGTAAGCTCCAGGCCCAGGTGGTGTTTTGCTTTGACCACTGTGTAAATAACCATTTTCAGTGCTGTGTCGGTAGTTTGCATAATTTCAGCAGTGAAAGGAAGGGATGTATGGAAGCGTGTACATCTCAAAGAGCAGATACAACCAGTTCAAGTCACGACAGCATGCAGTTATTCTATTGAGAACTTGCAGTGGAAGCATAATTACAAGTCAGATAATGCTAATGATTCTGTAGTGTCATCTAAATGTAGAATTTAACTCTTACACAGGGAAGAAAAGCAGAACATGGTACTGGAAGTCTTTGCAGTGCTTTAAGGCAACATAAATCTGGGAAAAAAAAAAGTGGTTGAAGAAGCCTTACTCCTCAGTTATTTCCTGGCATACTAACTCAAGCTGTGGCTCTGATTTGCCTGAGCTGAACTGACAGATCATTACTGTTGATGTGGCATACCCCACACCATCCGTGCCTTTGTCCAGCCACCTGGTTCTGCATCTTCCATTGCCCTGTTTGGGCACTTACTTCTGTGCATACTGATTCACTGGAACAACAGAAAATAACCAAGAGGGGCAGAGGTTAGAGTGTCAGACTAAAACTGGATAGCGTCTGCTGGTCCAGTCATTTGAATCAGCAAGCTGCAGTCAAATCCTGGGGGACTCTGAGTCAGTGGTTTGTGACAGCAAGAGGAAGAGCACGAGCTCTCCATTTTGGTGGTGAAAAGTCACTGAGTCGCTTCCACCCTTGGTGAAATGACATTCTCTGAGACTGAAGGTCAGGATGCCATGGGAAGCAATGAGAAAAATTCCAGGTTAGCTCAAGTTGGTCAGTGGTTTTTTCACTGGCTTCAGTGAGGCTCAGATGTCTCCAGTTACATTTGTTTAAAGCAAAAATGCCTGTAAGATCAGCTTGTAATTAATTGGTGTGTTGTGAATGTAGTACTTAGACAAGGAAATAAGTCTAATGGGTTCTCATTTGATTTGTACTATGAGGATTAAAAAATTAAAACCATTAAGAATTTATTCCTTATCTGCTGTAAATGCAAAAATACGTTTTAAACTGTTTTGTTTTACTGCAGTTTTGTAGAATGTTAAATTTGCTGAAATACCTAGATGTCATTTGAGTGGATGATTGATGGCTAAGTAAAGTACAGTTATGTTAGCTCTGTAGGGGCAAGCCATACATGAAGTGTTTAGTATACTTTGCTACAAGATTTCAGGAATAGGATGGCTTTGAACCTAGACAAGTAAGATGGTTTCATTATTCTGTTTTTTATATGAAATATTTCTCCAATTTTCGTGTATGACATAATGGTGTTTGGCCAGTAAATGAAAGCGGAAAAATCTGAAACTGCTTTCCCTTCAAAACCAAAGAAACAGGTTTCTGTGATTTTTCTAGAAGGAAGTTATATGTACAAAGGCAGCAGTGGGTAAGTATGAGTGACAGTGTCCAGCTCTTTTCTGATGATACATAAAAATAGTGGAGCACTGTGGTTTGAGTTTTTGATGTTTTTTCCATTTCATTCTGTTAAACTATATATGGTAGAAGACAACATCTGTGCAAACCCCAGGTGTTCAGAAAGTGCAACTTTATAGAGTTAAGAAGAACACATCTCCCAGCTTTCACCCAAATCTTCTTGTGACATTTTGTTGGGTTTTGTTGAGGTAATTACTGCTGCCTTACTGCAGATCTCTCAGACAGTTTTTGAGCTATTAGATCAGGATAATGACAGATCTAACAGTACGTGTCCTGCTCCACACAATATAGTAATTTTTCTAATCAGGGAGAACCAGAGTCCCTTTGCTCCTGTACGGATGATGGCCTTCCCATTCCTGCCTTGAACAGATATGATTCAGGATGCCTTTCATGGACCTTCTGCATGGATTAATTTCATTTCATTTTCACTGTCACCATAAATTTTATGCAACATCACTTATAGCTGGTTGCATTGAAAATTTATTTCAGCACTTGCAGGTTCTTCCTTGCTAATGACTTTGCCAAAACATGTTGCTGTTGGAAAGCTGAAACTAGACAACCGTATAGATGGTGATGATCACAGTAATGATTGTGTCCTCTGGACTACTGTTTAAGGAAAGGGGTTTGGCAGAGTGTCTTCTGATGTGATCTGAGTGCAAGGAGGCATCTGAGTGACCTGAGTGATCTGATTGAGCTGAGTGACCTATTTGCGTTAGGTCTCTTAGATCAATCTGTGTTGGTATGAGGGACCACTATGGCTGGTGCTGACAGAGATGTTTTACTTAAGTTTACCTGGGGTTATGTAAATTTTAAGAGTTTGAAGGAACTGCATAAAAGAGAGAAGAATCTACAAGAGAAAATAAAGGTTCTGAGGACAGTGTGGCAAGGGAGGAAGTAAGAAATGAGTGGCAGGTGCTAATGAAAAGATGCTTTTACTTGCGGAAGAATTGGGGTGAACAGTTGAGGTCATGTAGAACTTCGAACAACAGATGACCTCAGAATCCAGTGGAGGATTGGACTTTCTCCCCTTCCTGAGAGGGATAGCATGGTAGAGTAAGCAACCTGTTTCACTGCAGGTCCAAAGGAATGAGTTTAACACTTGTTTTGTAATCCTGTGAAAGGCTGCCTGTAAATCAGTCCAATCACAAATGGTTATCTGATTATTTGGATACAACCTGTATAACTCTCTGTGTGCTACTGGCTGCAGATATGCTTGCTCATCTTTTGCTTGTATTGGACAAGATTATTTTGGGGGACATTCAGTACAAGAGAGAACAAGTCATGTTCTTTAAATTTGTAAGCCATTCTGATTATGATAAAATGTAGAGCAGCCTGAGGACTGCTGTAGGTATTTCTTCTGTAATTTGAGGAGTATCTGGCAAAACTGGTAAAGTAACAAGGAAAACTCTTCATGGGGCATCTGTGACAAAAAATGGCCATGCAGGCCCTCCACTTCCAGTGGCTTAAACGGGCGGGACTGGGGAGAAATTAATTAGTCCCCTGAGTTTAAATTGGAATATTCATCATATACTGGGAAGTGTCCGTCATAGAGCAGTAAGATGAGGATTCCTTTGCTTTATGCCGTAGAGGAGAACTCTCTGCAGGCCAAGCAGATGCAAGTCCCTCTGAGGGAGTCCAAGTGGACCTGCTTTCTGGGCTAGCACAGCTGGTTTTGTGTGGTCCTTCTCATAACAGTGGGAATCATTTCTTGAATTTTTAAGTATTTGTCGTCGATCCTATGTTAGGAAAAAGAAGTCAAAGATTCTTCTGTTAAATAGCTTCAAATCGTGTTTCCATCCAGATTTCAATGAAGCAGTGCCAGAAACGGAGAGACTGGACTCCAAAGCTCTGAAGACTAGAGCTCAGCTTTCAGTGAAGAACAAGCGTCAGAGGCCTTCTAGAACAAGGCTGTATGATAGCATCAGTTCAACTGATGGGGAGGACAGCCTTGAACGAAAGGTGAGAAGGACTCTACACTCTTTTTTGGGCTTGCTATGAAGTGCTAGTTTGTCCCTGTAAGTTATTTTGTCCTCTGTCTTTATCCTTTCATTGTAGCACAGGCAATATTTATTCCTCTGTGGCCAGAGTGCTCTGAATGTCCTTGAGTGATGTGTGAGTCTGGTCTCCTTTGAGTCATCATACCTGGTTTTTTGGTTTTGTTGTGTTGTTTTTTTAACAGGAATCCTGGGCTTTCTGATTTATGTGTGCTTTATAACACAGAGTGAGTCCTTTCATGTATGCAGGAGGTGAAAGAAACTTGAATCATGCATTTGTCTATTTGTTAATTTGTTAACATAATTGATACGATAATCCCTTGCTGCTTTGTCCTATTCTGACTTCTGTCTGAAAGCAAATACCAATAAACAACAGTGTGTGGTATCAACAGGTAATGACATGAATTGCTAAAGCATTTCTTACAAATAGAATGCTAAATAATGAATAAAAGAATTGCATGTTTAAAGTAAACCTTGCTCTGATTGGTTACTAAATGGTATAACCTGCTTTATAATCTCTTATACCAACAGCCATCAAACAGTTACAGTAGTCCCATGCACATTTCAAAATCACCACTGCCCTTATGTATGAGAGCATCCTCACCAGCATCAGATTCTGGTGCTTCCTCCCTCTCCCCCGTGGCTAGCAGTGCAACAATCTCACTTGACAACCTAACTGAAAACCAAGAAGAAGAACAGCACCACAAAGGAGGTGTTCTTTCCCCACATGCTCGGGGAGGCACTCCACTTTCCTCTCCTTCCATATCTGGGCACAGCTCTGAAGCATCTCCTTTGCATCACCCAGCTGGCAGGAATGTTATACAGGATAAAGGTATTACTATTTTCTACAATAAATTGATGCATCATTTTGCTCCCATCTGCTTTATGAACTTCTGTTGTGTGGTAGGACCTTAGCAACTAGAGGGCCATCATCTTACAACTTCTGTTGCCTATCTGGAGATCAGAAAATTACAAATGACCTTGTATGATGGTAAAAGAAAAGAACAAATTTTAAACTGAGATCGGGAACTGCTTCCTTCCTCTTTTGGTTTTTTGTCTTTCTTAGAACTCACTGAAAAAGCTAGGGGGAAGTTGCCTTTAAGAAAATCTTGAATTTTGTTTAAAAAAAATCGTAAAACAACAAAACTATTAGACCTTGGAACATTTCTATATTAGAAACATGCCTAACACAGTGTACTTAGCTTGAATTATGTGATTTTGGCACTGCTAGGTGATTTTTTTGGAGGGTGGGGAAAGGAGTGTAAGGCAAGAATAACATTGTAGTGCTTAATTGCTGAGAGGTGGTGTAGTCTAAGATCAAACAAGAGGATAATGTCTGGAGACTTTTCATTTACAGAAAAAAATACCAAGCAATATGGGGGAGGTTGGCCCCATCGTTGTTTATTGAATTCAGATTCTTTCAATGTAAGCTCGATAAAACATGATGCAGTCTTACCCAGCTCAGGTACTATTTATTAAAGGCATTAATAATAAGGTACAGCACAGAATACTGAGCCCTCCTTTTCAGAAGCCTTGTGAAGTGAAAATTAGCATTTTACACAGCTTCAGCATTCTTAGCTATGCACCTTGCATTCTCAAACTGTCACATAAGTTAAAATATGTGATAAAAATGGTTCATGAGTAAGGACTGTGGGAATAGGTCTGTATAGGTTCATAACAGACTTTGCCTTACTTAAATGAAATGAAAAGAACAATACGTTGGGGATTTTTGTTTGTCTGTGTCTGAAAAGACTTGACATTGATTAACAACTTGTTTTTCCTCAACTTTATGCAGGGCTTTCACACAGGTTCTTAAAATACAGATTAATCAAGTTTTTTGAATTTGGGATAGGTTAATATAAGCTAGTATTTTACATGGGTTCTGAAATTGCTACTCTAACTGTATAGTTTCCAACTGTATAATTCTTAATGAATCAAAATTAAAGTCAATATTTGAGTTTTGCAAGTAAAAATAAGGGTGTGAACAGAAGAAAGTGACTTTGCAAACTTGTATTTCAGCGTGAATGTATGATTGGTTTATCAGTGGAGTCGTAAATCCTCCACTTCCAACTGATGTATGAAATATATCTCGATAACAATTTAGTGGAGCCCAGCCTTGTAGGGTAAGGGATAGAGTATTACAGTCCACCCACTGTGTCACTCTT